CAGGGAGGACCCCCCTCCCCGAACCTGTCTCCTCCCGGAACCCTGCACCGGGCGGGCTCTCTTCCTCCCCCTCCTCCTCCTCCTCCTCCTCACGTGCCTCGGGACCCCCGTACGCTCCTCTTCGGAATGCCGATCCGCAGCCCCCCCCCCCCCCGCACCCAGCACAATCCGCCCCCACCCCCCTCGGCCTCCACCTCGCGGGGGGTCTTCCGATGTGCTGGGGTACCTGCATTATTCTCTGCTTTCCAATGACATTGTTTCAGCAGCCGCCAACTTTGTTCGCGTCTTTTCTCGCTTTCATCTCTCCTGGCCAACGGCCACTGCGCCCAGTTTCCTGGGTTTTACCAGATTCCAAATAGTGATTTCCTTGTGTTCGTTTCTGTTCTGTTCTCCTCGATAAACATTTATGGAAATAGCTGCCAAACAGTGGTGAGGATGGAAACATGCAGACGGCAGACGGAGTGAGTTCTCCCGGAGAGATAGATGAGCTTCACCAGCACTGTACCGTCGCCTCCTGGAGGGGGTCAGATGATGTGAAGAGGTGGTCACGGTGGGGAGATGGAAAGGGGGTTCAGGATCTCTGACTATGCATCAAAGCTGGTCGGTCCCTGCCCGCTGAGAACGATTAACAGCCTTTCCCACCTAAAATGACAGGCATTAGCTAGTGCAGGTTCCTGTATGCCTTTGGATTCCAGTGCGCCTTCCCATTAAGGCCCCCAGATAAGGGTGACTGGATTCTGGGAGCATTGCATCTCTGAAATTTGTGTCGGCTGGGGACTAACACACGTTTGTGATGGAAATGATGATGGTAGTGAATTATATAAGCACTTACTATTGTGGATAGAATGGACTGGCCTTTAGTGTTTATTTCAACGCCTGTCTTCCTGGTTTGCAGATGTAGGACATCTAAAAACTACATTACCCAGATTTCCATGCAGCTGGGAGATTCTGTAAGCAAGAATGGCCCTGTCACTCAAGATGATGGAAACTGAAGTAAGGTGGCTTTTGAACTGTTGCTTCTGGCTAACCCTGTGTTGGGGTTGGCGGGGGTGATAAAGAAAGATTTCTCGAGAGAGAGGAGTCTCATGGTGTGTGTGTGTGTGTGCGCGCGCGCGTGCGTGCGCAGAAGTGCCAAAATCTTCCAGTATCCAATCATTAAGTCCTATGTCTGGATTAGAGATGATGAGTCAGGGGCCTGTTGGCTAGTCTCACAGATAGAGTGAGGTCTAGGTTCTAATGCCAGCCTCCCAATTCCCTACTTGCCTGACCGGCTAGAAGAAACAGTGTACTGTGAGCCTGGCCCCAATCCACTCCCAGCCCAGATCAATGCCTTCTTCATGCTTGTTTCTCCTGTTTTCCATTGGTATCACCAGTTACCCTGTCTGTCAAAGTTATCCTGGTTTTTAGAGTTTTATTAGTCCAGTTTACAAGTCTTTTTGCCTCTGTATCCACACTGTTTTCTTGCTTCTATAACCTTGTCGTGTTGAATCTGTATTACACCCTCCAAATCTGGCTTAGTCTCATCTCCACGGCTAACCCCCCTGGTCCATCACCATCACTTTTCTCCTGGGCATTGGTAAAATATTCCTAACTTGTTTCCCTGCTTTCTCTATTGCCCCCCTGCTAGTCCATTTTCTAGATAGTGGTAGAATATGTAGAAACTGGATTAAAATCCTGCATTAAAATCCCTGGGGAGGGGAGGGCAGGGGCAGTATAGTGGTTAGGGTTTGTGTGTGGCATAGGTTCGATTTCTACACCACAAGGTCCCCAAGCATGCTGGGTTTGGGACAGGTATCCCCAGCACTGGGCCCTTGCATTAAACCAATGGCCCAGCTGGCCAAGAATTGCTGATGGAGCCCCCAGGCCTCATGAGCACTGCTTGGGAGTCCCTGTCCTGCCCTGATAAAATAAAATCCTTAAGTGACTTCCCATTTTAGGATGCGTTTCAAATCTTTCCTGCAACCTGAGATCAATCTCTTCCTTCCCCCCGCCCCCATCTTTTTTTCTTGAGATGCCTGGAACCCAGGGCCTCACACCTTCAAGGAGTGCTCTACTCATGGCTCATTGTTGTGCCCTCATCTCTCTCCCAACGTTATGCCCTTCTTGTCTTGAGGACTTTGTGCCAGAAGTGACTTTGTGCCTGGTGTTTCCCCTTGGTTGCCTTCCCAACACTTGAATCCTCACAGAGGCTTTCCTCAGTTTCTATTGAACTTGTCTCCTGGTCTCATCTTTGTACCTCTGGCTTCAATCACTGTTCCAAACTCTTTATTTGCATATATTCTGGTTTATTCTTCCTTTTTTTTTTCTCCTTTTGGTTTGGACCACACCCAGGACTGTTCAGAGCTTATCCCTGTCTGGCTCTGTGCTCAGGAGTCAATCCTGGAGGGGTTTGGGGGACCAAATGGAGGTGTCAGAGACTAAACGTGGGTTGGCCACATGCAAGGCCAACCTTTTCTTCATGAGGCTCTCCAACTAAAAAGTACTAAATGTAAAATGGATTTTATCTGCCTTGCTTATCTTGTGTCCCTGGTACCTGTACACAGAGAAAATGCTCAATAAATGAATTATTAATTTATTTCCTTATGTTAGTTTCATTATTGAATGTGGGGTGGGGCTCATGTGAGATCAGTCAAGCATAAGACTCGTGAAGTCAAGGGCCAGAGTGATAGTCCAGTGGGTAGGGTGCTCGCCTTGCATGTGGCCGACCTGGGTTCTATCCCTGGCATCCTATGTGGTCCCCCCTTCCCCCACCAGCACCACCAGGAGTGCTTCTTGAGTGCAGAACCAGGAGTAAACCCTGAGCGTGGCTGGGTGTGGCCTCCAAACAGCCAAAAAAAGAAATGTTAAGTCAGTGTTATGTAGCATGATTATTATAAGCCCTTCTTTGCAGAGTTTCCAGAACACGAAGGACGCAGGGATGGAAGAAGCAGAGAAAGGGTGAGGCCCAGGGATGAAACTGGAGCCTGTCCTTCCTGCCGACACCCTTGTCAGGAACTGCTGGGTGGAACTTTCATGCCTCACACACTCGTGTTTGCCCTCTCCCCCCTCCTCCTTAGGCCTGTGAGGCTCCCGGCCCATTAGATCCCTTCTTTCCTGTTGTGTATTCAGTTACCTGAACCAGGCTGCTCCCAATCTTCCCCCCACCCCCGCCCCCTACCCCACCCTATATCTTATTTGGGGGTTACCTAATCTTCAGGCCTCCCTAGGAATCTGTTCTGCCTTTGTTGCCCGCAAAGACAAATTCACGAGCCCTTTGACTGGGCAGAGCTCTGGAACTGTGGGGTCTCTGATCTGTAGGTCCCATCTCCTGTTGAGAGAAACTATCGTAAAGAAGAGGAACCCTGTGGTTTCGTGGCATAAGTGTGGGGTAGGGGGAGTCCCCTCTTTCCCAATCACAGCAAAAGTCCCAGGGGCACCCAGCCCTTACCTGTGCCGCAACACACAAGGGAGACAGTTTCCTTTCTGTTGCTTCTCCTCCCATCACAGGTGTTGGGACTGTATGCTCGTTCTCTGCCTCAGGCTGTGTGTGAGCAGTACTGGGTCAGCGCCGGCTGCAGGGCGCCACGGGTCCCACTGGGATGGGGAAGGGACACAGTCCTGCTGTCCACTCCTCAGTAGGAGACCGTCTCCAACTCGCACAGACCCGAGGGATGGATGGGTGAGGCACCCAGAATACCTGGGGCTCCGTGTGGGGGTTTAAAATTGGTTTCAGGGAATCTGGCAACCTTGGGTGCCCCCCTGTGGCTTTGAGTGGAATGTGTGCAGTGCTGGAGGAAGCCCGCAGTGGACGGGAGTAGGGGTGGGTAGGCTCTGCAAAGTGAAGATGAGAAGGGCCCAGTTACCTAAGCTCCCTTTATGGGGTTTCCCCAGAAGGGCTCCCCCCAGCATTTCTGCACCTCCATCAGATTGCTCCTTTCAGCCGGTAAATTAAATATTCTCTTGGGAGTTTAGGTTTTCCCCCTGCGAGCAATAGTTTTGTGTGTGTGTATGTGGAATCTGGATTTCACTTAGTGGAATGACGCCCTGCCAGTACTTCCTCCTCTGTCTCCACTAGCCCTGTAGCCCCAGAGGGTGCAAACACGCTCCTTCCAACCTGCTGTCTTCTTCCAGGGACAGAGACAGTGTGTGTCTGCATGCTTGGGCAACTAAGATACTTTTTGTTTGTCTTCTGAGCCACCTCTGGTGTTCAAGGCTGTGTGTTCCAGGCTCTGTGCTCAGGGCTTATTCCTGGCTCGATGCTCAGGGATCACTCCTGGTGGGTTTGGGGGACCGTATGAGGTGCTGGAGATGGAACCCTGGTCGACTGTGTGCAAAACAAGTGCCGTAACCCCTGTATTATCTTCCTGGCCCAATTCAGACACTATTTTTTCTAGTATAAGAGGCTGCTTTGGTAACTTTAAAAGATGCTCTCCAGACGAAACCCAGAGTCTTTCTGCAGCGCAGGAGGACTGGGCAGAAAGTTAGAAGGTTTCACAGCGCTGTAGCAGCCGAGCCTGTTGCAGGGTGAGCGGGGAGGGGCAGGGAAGGAGGGGGGATGTGATGCTCTCGGTTCTGGCCTTGCAGGAGGTGGTGCTGCTGAGCTTCCTGCCAGGGACAGGGACAGCTGTGTGTGCAAGAGGCAAGCTCTGTCTACTGTGGCCTGTGTGCAGAGCTCAGGTCTTACTGGGTAGAGAAAGCTGGGTTCTGGCTCATCCCTGTCGCGTTGGTTTTTTAGCCTGGGATATTTATGTAGCCCGTTCATCCTGAGGTCCCCTTCCAGCTGTGTCATGCTTGTCACGTACCCAGCCTGAGCGGGGCACTGCGGTGAGGGGGTTTTGCTGTTGGTTTTACTTTCGAATTTGGTTTCCGGGGGGTCTCTTCATTCCTTGCGGCCAACCACTTCTTTTTTGGTGATGCCAATCCAGCGGTGCCAATGCCAGCCTCTCTTGGGGTTGGAGTGGTCTGCCAGAGAGGGAGCCCACTGTGACTTCTTGAAAATTCTCACTGGTGGAAAATGCAGGAAGTCTGAGCACGAAACTCACTCCTCAAACACACACACAGAGACAGGGCAAGAAACCACAGCGCCTATCGGCCTGTCGTCATCGAGCAGACTAGAAGAGCACAGAGAACTCTAGGCAGAGAGGAAATGAACTTGAGAGAAGGGGGAACACAGGCCGAGAGGAGCGCCAGAGGGCGGGAGAGGTGGAGAGCGGCCGGATGGTGGGAGGATGGACGAGGCCGCAGTGAGGCAAGGCTTCTTGTACCTTCAGCTGCAGCAGACTTTTGGTGGCAAGGTAGGAGTCCTTGGGGCTGCTTTGGGGGGGGGGGGCTGCGCAGGACTCCCGGGAGGAGGGGGAGTGGGACCCTCAGGGAGCCCCACCCGGCGGGATGATGGAGCCCTGACCCAGAGCTTCCGTGGAGGCAGCGTGGGGTCTTAGCCTCTCTGCTGGGCAGTCTGGCCCGAGTGTGGAGCTGGGGGTGCAATGAGGCCCCGCTGTCTCCTGCCCTTGGGGTCACTCCTCACCGCCACCCCTGGGAAAGGAAGGGAGTGATCTGGGACTGCAGGGGAGGTTCGCCTCCCCCCCTTTCCTGCCCCAGGGGTGGGTGCTCGGCTGGTGGTGAGCTTGAGCTGGGCCTCCGCTTGGCCGCCCCCCTCCTCCTCTTTGGGACTCCTTGCCTAAGGAAGTGCTCTTGGGCTGGGCTCACCAGTGCTCCCCTGTCTTGGTCCGGGTCGAGCCTCCCCAAGGGTGAGCCCGAGGGAGGGCTTCTTCTGGGGGGCCCTCGTGGCCGTCGAGGACAGGGCTGCTGCCCATTCCAGGCTTCAGGCCCGTTCCTGGGGCTGCGCCCAGCTGCACCAGGGACCGGGCTGCAGGCGCCCCAGACGCCCCCTCCCCGCGGTCCCTCCTGCACCCCACCCCCCCCGTGGGGTGCCCCCCTCAGCCCCCTCTGTGTGCACACTCAGAAATGGCGCCGCTTCGGGGCAGCGCTGTACCCCGAGTCGGGCTGCGCCCTGGCCCGCCTGGAGCTGCTGGAGGGCCCCGAGAAGCCGCGGCGGGGCGAGGCGGCGCGCCGGGTCATCCGCCTGAGCGACTGCCTGCGGGTGGCCGAGGCGGGCGGCGACACCGGCAGCCCCCGCGACACCAGCCCCTTCGTCCTGGAGACCAAGGAGCGCCAGTACCTGCTGGCCGCGCCCGCCGCCGAGCGCGCGCCCTGGGTGCAGGCCATCTGCCTGCTGGCCTTCCCGGTGAGTGGGGGCCGGGGTGGGGGTGGGTGGTGGGCGGGGGGGGAGCACCCGGCCCGGAGTACCCGGCCTGGAGCACCCGGCCCGGAGTACCCAGCCTGCAGCACGCCCGCCGTGCTGAGCCCCGCTGCTCCCCAGGGCCAGCGGAAGGACGCGCCGGGCCCCGACGGCCAGGGCCGGCCCTGCATGGCCGAGAACGAGCTCTACGGCAGCCGCGACTCAGGTGAGGCGCCCTCGCTGCCTGCGCGCCGCCGCCGCCGGGGACCCCCCGGGCTGCTCAGAGCTGCGCGCTGCTCCCCCCCAGAGCGTGGGCGTGGGCGTCGCGCTGGCGGGGAGAGCCACCACTGTCATCCGGGAGACAGAGGCAGGCAGAGAGAGAGAGACAGAGACAGACACAGAGACAGAGACACAGAGACAGAGACAGAGACACAACAGAGAGAGGCAGAGACAGAGAGACAGAGACAGAGAGACACAGAGAGACAGAGGCAGAGAGACACAGAGAGAGACAGAGACAGAGAGACAGAGAGAGATGCACACAGAGACACAGAAAGACAGAGAGACACAGAGATACAGAGACAGAGAGACTGGACAAAGAGACAGAGAGACACAGAGACAGAGACAGAGACACAACAGAGAGAGGCAGAGACAGAGAGACACAGAGAGACAGAGGCAGAGAGACACAGAGAGAGACAGAGACAGAGAGACAGGACAGAGAGACAGAGAGAGATGCACACAGAGACACAGAGGAAGACAGAGAGACACAGAGATACAGAGACAGAGAGACTGGACAAAGAGACAGAGAGACACAGAGACAGAGACAGAGAGAAAGAGACAGAGATAGAGACAGACAAAGACAGTGACAGAGAAACAGACAGAGACAGACTACAGAGTGAGACACATAGAGACAAAGACAGACAGAGAGACACACAGAGAGACAGAGACAGAGAGAATGTGAGAGTGTGTGGGTATGTGAATGTGTGTGTCTGATACTGTATCGGGGTGTGAGTGTGAAACTGAGCTTGTGAGAATGGGAGCGTGGGAGAGAGTGTGTGTGAGAGCGTGCAAGTCTGTGAGAGAGAGATTGTATGAATATGTGAGAGACTGTGGGTATGTGAATGTGTGCGTGAGAATGTGAGAGCGTGTGTGAAAATTCAGTGTGTGTGAGTGCGAGTATGTGAGAGTGTGTGTGTGTGAGAGAGACTGAGTATGTTGAGTATGAGAGTGTGTGAGTGTGTGAGACTGTTGAGAGTAAGTGTGTGTGTATGTGTGTGAGGTGTGTCAAAGTATGTGTGTAAGACTGAGGTATTGAGTGTGTGTGTGAGACTTGGTATGTCAAGTGTGTGCGTGAGACTGCATTGATGAGTCAAGTGTGTGTGTGTGAGAGAGAGAAATAGAGGAGAGACAGAGAGAGCGAGAGCGAGAGCGAGCGAGAGAGAGAGAGAGAGAGAGAGAGAGAGAGAGAGGGCAAGCAGTTGGTGCACAGAAGGGCATCCAGGCGCCCCCTCAGAGGACACCGTGGCAGATGGTGGTGGGCAGTGGGGGCTGGTTGAGCGCAGGAGTGGGGGAGGCTGTACCTGCAACTCAAACGGGGCGGGGATGGCAGTGGAGATGGGGAGCGGCTGATCTGTGGCTCCGGTGACCAGCCAGGGGCAGGAAGGATGTGGCCAGAGGTCAGGTGCCGGTGGCCGGGGCATGGTGCTCCGAGGATGGGGTGGAGCTGCTGTTGGGGGCCCGGGTGGGACCTGGTAAGGACAGCTCAGACTTTTCTCTAGACTGTGGGTGTGCGTGCAGGGCAGGGCGGTGCAGGCAGGCCGGCTGCTCATCCCGCCCTTCTTCCCAGTGCTCTCCTGTAAGGAGTTTGCTGTGACCGTGAGACCCACAAAAGCGAGTGAGAGGTGCCGGCTCCGGGGGTCCTATACCCTGCGGGCTGGGCAGGGTGGCCTGGAGCTGTGGCGAGGCCCCGAGCCGGGCACCCTGCTCTACAACTGGCCCTACAGGCTCCTGCGGCGCTTTGGCCGGGACAAGGTGAGTGGGGGCCCGTGGAAGAGGAAGGATGAGAGAAATAGGGTCCCACAGAGAAGCAGCAGCAAGGGGCCAGGGCGGGAGAAGACGAGAGTGCAGAGGGCTTGCAGGTGGGGACGTGGGTGGGCGGCCAGGGGACCTGAAAAGACAGAGGCAGGAGAGAAAGGGGCGGAGAAGGGGGAGCCTGCTTGGACCCCGTAGCAGAGGCAGGAGGGAGAGGGGATGGTGGGGGGGGGGGGGCTTGTAAAAGGGGCTGGGGCGGGCCCGCTGCTGCCTGGAGGCCCTGCCAGTGACCCCCCCCCCCCTTCCCCTGACTCAGGTCACCTTCTCCTTTGAGGCCGGTCGACGCTGCGACTCCGGAGAAGGCACCTTTGAATTCGAAACCCGGCAAGTCAGCGAGATCTTTCAGGCCCTGGACGAGGCCATCGCTGCCCAGAAGAACGCACCCCCCGCTACCGCACCCCAAACCCAGCCAGCCCCGGTCCCCACAGCGCTCCCCGTGGCGCTGCCCCTGCCGGAGAGTCCCTACTCCCGCCCCCACGACTCACTGCCGCCCTCTTCGCCCACGGTGTCAGTGCCCGCCGCCCGGTCCCGGGGCTCTGAGGGGGAGTATGCCGTGCCCTTTGACGCTGTGGCCCGGAATCTGGGGAAGAGCCTGAGGGGCATCTTGGCAGGCCATCCAAAGTCCCTGGGTGACCCTTTTTATGACAGCATCGAGGAGCATGCACCCCTGGGACCGGACCACATCTATGATGAGCCTGAGGGCATGGCAGCCCTGGCCCTGTATGACAGGCCCCAGGAGCCCCAAGGCGAGGCCTGGAGGAGGCACGCTGCCCCTGAGAGGGACCTGAGTGGCCTCCAGCATGTGTACCCAGCGGGGCAGGAGCTCTGTGCTGCTGACTGGTCACAGGACACTGAGTACGACAATGTTGTGCTTAGGAAAGGCCCCAAGTGAAGGGTGGGGTCGGGTGCCTGTGTAGCTGCCTCAGGTCACTTGAAGCCCCTGGCTACTACATCCCTAAAATGTCCCTCTGGGCCTATTCCGCCTATTCCCGGCAGAGACATTGTCCCTCAGGGCCCATGACATGACTCACCCTCTAGAAGCAGAAAACCTGCCCAGACCCACCCACTCTTCTACTCCTTTTCCACTTCCTCTTCTCCCCTCCCCCGCCCTGTTGCAGAACCACAGGCATTTAGGGCAGAGGACAAGGGACAAAACTCCATCAGCAAATCGCTGGGGCCTTGGCTTGCACCAGCACTCCCTGGGGAGAGTGGCTTCTCGGGGCATTCAGTGTTCCTGGACTGGGCCTGAGTGATAGTCCAGTGGATAAGGTGCTGGCCGTGCATGCAGCTGGCCGGGGTTTGATCCCTGGCATCTCATGTGAGTGATCTCTGCACCCAGAGTCGGGAGTAAGCCCTGAACACAGCTGTGTGTGGCCCTAAAACCAAAAAAAAAAAAAAAAAAAAAAAACACGTTTCTGGATTGTGTGTGTTTGTGTGTATGGCCTGTGTGCCTGGGATGAGTTGAGTGACACAGAGCTGCTGGGACACTCACTCCACTGGGCCATCCAGCACCTGTGCCAGCACCTGTGCTCAGGGGGTGGCAGTCAGGGCACCTGGGAAAGGTAATCAGGAGCCTCTGATTCTGGGCCTGGAGTGATAGTACAGTGGGTAGGGTGCTTGCCTTGTCAGGTGGTGAGCCCGGATTTGATCCTCAGCATCCCATATAGTCGCCGAGCCCCACCAGAAGTGACCCTTGTCCACAGAGCCAAGGAATAAGCCCTTAACACTTCCCGGTGTGGCCCCCAGCAAACGAGAGTCTGCTCCTTTGCTTGGGGGAAAGGTCACGGGAGGGGGGGGGTGCAGGTAGTGAGTGGGTGTCTTCGGTACCAGGAACTAGGCCCAGCCACTCCTTACCTTCCCTGAGACACCCTGTTGATCTGCAGAAGAAGGGGCTTCACCCTGGGGGCTCTTCCTGCTCTCTCCTCCACAGGCCCGGGGAGCAGGCCCTGAGCCCTGAGCCCTGCTCACACTACCTCTGCACTCAGGCCAGTGTTGTGCACACTGCAAGTCTGCAGGATATCCCTTATACACCCCCGCCTCCGCCTCCTCCCGCAGAGAACACCTGGTGTCATGGGCAGTGGGGAGTGGGAGCTAGCTGAGAGTAGGAGGGGCGGGCTGGGCAGTGCCTGCAGCTCTGTGGCGAGTTGGGCGCGGGAATTGAGGACTGGCCCTGCCAACCACTCCACACCCAACCTCAGCATCCAGAGATCCGCAGCCCCTAAGCCGGCCTGGGGTGGGAGCCGGCGCGCCTGGCTCCGGTGCACGTGCCAGCTCCGCCCAGCAGAGGGCAGTGCGAACCTGCGGAAAGGGCCGCCCGGGGCTGGGCCCTGAAGGCACCTGCGCTTTTCCGAGCCCCCTCCAGGCACCGAGGCAGATGTGCGGACTCCACACCCTCAGGGGCTCCTAACGCTGCAGCTGGAGACCTGCCTTGAAACTCTGCGCCTGAACGGAGCTGGAGTGGTCGCTCCCCTTGGCTCTCTCCCTGGGTGGGGGGGCTGCTGAGTTCCTCCCTTCGGGGTCAGCTTTGCTGCAAGGGGAAGTGCAGCCTGGGCAGGACAGTCCCAGGCTGGGGAGGGGAAGTAAGGCATGAGGAGGAGCAGAGGCCCCCTGAAAATGCGGCGGCGGACAGTTGGCAGGACGCCTAGGGCGGGCCTACCTGGGAACCCTGCCCCGCTTCCTTAGCTGGGGGGTGGGGGGGGAGGAGGCGGGGGCGTGGCCCCCTCCCAAGGCCACCCACAGCGTGCACGGGTGCTGAAACCTGCTTGTGGCTTCTGGGAGGGCACCCTGGCTGGCCCCCACCAGACCTGAGGGTCACACGCAGTGCCAAACAGCTGGAAGCCTCCTGGCAGCTGTGGGCTCCGTGAGAAGGTGCAGAGAGCAGGACACTTTGGTCAGTCGGTGACCACTGCGGAGGCACTGGGTGCAGGGGCCAGTGGCCGGCAGGGGCACCCACGGATGCAAAGAGAGCCGGATCTTTGGTGGCCAGAGCCTCCCCCAGCCTCCTGGGCTACGCTCTACTGGTGGGGGATGAGCTGCCCTGCAGGGCGCCTCCTCCCCTGCTCCAGCCTGTGGAAGGCCCCCCCACCCTGTCCCTGGTGACTTCCCCCCTAAAGCGTCAGAAAAAACGCCAAGGCCACCCCTTACCCCCCTGTGGCCTGGCGCTCACGCTCCTGGCTGACGGCTGCGCTCAAGCTGTTGCTGCCATCACCTTTCAGCAGTGATGCTAACCAGCCTCCCGCCCCGGCCTCATGGCCGCTGATTCAATTAGCCAAGGTGCCCACCTCCTGCAAGGGCCGCTTATAAAATCAGCCAGGGCAGCTGGAGCACCGCGGGAGGGGCCGGGTGGCGTATCTGATCCGGGTAGACAGCAGGCTGGCTTCCCATCCTGGGGGCTTCCCTGTCACCTGCCCAGGTTCTGGCCTCCCCTGGCTGGCCAGCTAGGAAGGGGACCGAAGTGTCTCCAGCCCTGCCAACCCTCCTCTCTCCCACCCTTTTTTGCCTGACCGCAGCTCCCAAATCCCAGCCTCTGGGTGGGCCACTCTGGCTGGTGCATGGGGCAGGGAGGAAGGATGGGGGCGGGAGGGGGTGGGCACACAGAGGTTGTAAGGATTGGGGGAAGGAACTAGAGCCCCAGAACTGGGATCTCTAGTGCCAGGACGGGGCAGCTTTGCATGTCCAGGTGTCTGATCTGTGAGATCTTTGTGGAGGTGCAGATGTGCCTTCGGGAACATAATAATGAAGCCCTTGAGTTTGTACCGCATATCCTCATTTGCAACCTGTTCGGAGGTTTTCTGTCACACACGAGTGAGCCGGAGGGGAGACTCACATCATCAGAGGGGACGCCAGGGCTGTCTGGAGTGCTCAGAGGCAGGGAGACTGTAAGAAACAGAACACCCCGGGGAGCTGGGTTCTCAAAGTCCATGGATGCAACAAAACAAAACAAAACAAAAACAGGGTTCTTTGAGACGAGGGGGTTCTCTCTGGTGCCTGACTCCTATCTTGAGCGGGATGAGATCTTATGGTGCCAAGATTTGCCCACCTTGGTGGGAAATAATAAATACAGTGGCAGGAAATGGTGGGAACAACCAGAATGGGGAACAAAGAAGATAAAACCTCCTGGGGTGGAGCGGGGCATGCACTCATGTGCCTACCCGCCCTGACATCTGTCAGCGCTTCCTATTATTCTTTCCTTTCTTCTCTTGATGAAATCTCTGCCACTGTCCTGAATGTCCTGAGTGAGTTTTTTTCTCTCTAGGAGGCAAGAACCTCAATGCAATGCTTTCACTTATTTGGTAACATGGGGCCAGAGCGCTGTGTTCTGCAGGCTGTTGCCTGCCCTGGTTCAAACTCCAGGCCTGCTCCATGCAAGTAGTGTCTCTGCCCTGTAAAATGGAGAGTGTGAAACTAAATGCCGCACAGTCTGGGCTACTGCTGGACACCCAGTCCTGGGCTGGTCGCTGTCCTGGTTTTCCTCCCTTGGGGCCAGGGCAGAACTTTCTGTCCCACTTGTAAGGGGATCGGAGTGTTGGGTCCCTTATCTTGAGGGCAAAGATGTGAATTTAGATTTTGTGGAAGTGGGAGAACTGGAGAAAGAGAGGAAAGGTTTTGGCCAGCAGAAAAAAAATGCAGAGGGGCTGGAGCGATAGTACAGTGGATTGGGCGTTTGCCTTGCACACGGTCAACCCAGGTTTGATCTCCAGCATCCCATATAGTCCCCTGAGCACCGCCAGGAGTAATTCCTGAGTGCAGAGCCAGGAGTAACCCCTGAGTATTGCCAGGTGTGACCCAAAAAGGAAAAAAAAAAAGAAAGAAAAGCAGAATAGTATTCAAGAAGATGAGAGGGCAGCAAACATCAGTGGCCTTCCAGCCACCGGCTGGGGATGTAACTGTGAAGGTCTGGCTCCACATGAGAGACACAGTGACAGGCTGAGAAAGAGCTTTATCAGCAACGGGCAGCAGGTAGGAAGATGGCAGACTTGTGCTCAAAGTAACCACCTGGTGTGCGCGGTCAGAAGGGGCATTTAGAGAGGAGAGAACAGGGAAGCGAAAGATTGTACATCAAGCGTTGCAGGGTGATCACTGCATTCCCTTGTGGGTTGGTCCCCTGAGGCTCCCTTCCACTGTGACTGCAAACAAAGCCTTCTAATTAAGGTTCCTGACCTCGTACTCCTCAGGTCAGGAGAAGGGGGGCATTTTCGGTCATTCCAGTCCAGACAAGTTTTCTGGTTTTCATTTTCTCAATATTGAACTCTTTATTTCTTTGGGCAGCTTCAGAGAGCTACAGCTTCAGGGTGACACAGCCCAGGGCCCTCTGTGTGTCCACATCTGTGCACACCTGGGCAGAACAGGGTTTGCAGCCCTGCTAAGCCCCTCCTAACAGCCGGGTCTGAGGAGAAGCTGCTTCGAAATCTAGGAGGCAAGAGAACTCAGGGAAGTGGAGGTGTATGGGGGGGGGGGGGAGGTAGACCTGAAGGGGGCACGCCTGAAGGGACTCATCTGAGGGAGGCACGCCTGAGGAGGTGCATTGAAGGAGTGCTTTCTCTCCACCACACCGCATTCCCCCCATGGAATGGGGCATTTTTTGGGTTTGATTTTGGTTTTGGTTTTTGGGCCACAGCAGGCAGTGTGGTATGGAAACTACTCTTGGCACTGCTCTGGGATCACTCCCAGCAGTACTCAGGGCAATGCGTGATGCTGGGAATTAAACTCAGGGCTCCCACATGCAGAGCACTCACTCGTCTTGCGAGCTGTCACTCTGACCTGGGCATGATCATTCTTTCAGTTTTGTTGTGTTTTGGAGCCACAGCTGGTGGGGCTCAGGGTTTACTCCCGGCTCTGCACACAGAATCACTCCTGGCAGGCCTTGGGGGGACCATATGGGGGTTCTGGGGATTGAACCTAGGTTGGCCACATGCAAGGCAAGCGCCCAACCCATTGTACTCTCACCCCAACCCCTGAGCATAATCCTTCTTGACCTAACTCACCACCAACGCCTAACTCAATGCCAGGCACAAAGTAGCTACTTCTCCCCAACCCCTCTTTGTTTTAAAATTTCCTCCTTCAGTTCCCTTCGTGGTTGTTGTGTGATCGGGGTCACAGACACTTGGTGGTGGTACTTGCACACTTAGTACAGTCCTGTTCACAGCAACGGAAGAGACACCGAATGGTGACACTTGTGTTGTGCACGAGGAGAGAGATTTCCAACGTTGTATGAGATGGGGGAGGCATTCGCATCCCCTGTGGGGTCTTCTCTGAGGACGTGCTTTGTGCTGCCGGGCCCTGAAGAGCTCCCA